TCATGAGTCTTATAAGTCATCAAAATTACGTCAAATATATTTAAGATCTCGCGGTTTTCACTAACCTTACGAGTCTCCATTCGGGTTTTTCCTACCCTGATTAATTATTTATTTGTCAGATACCTATTGTTTCTTTTGAACAATTTAATATTAGGCTATCTGAAATGAAGGATTGGCACTATCGCCTGAAAAGTGGCACAATGGCTACACTAAATCCTTTAGGCATTTCGCCTTTATACTGGCATTTAAAGCCACATTAAAAATCGCGACGTTATAAAAAGATCAACAGATGTAAATTTACTCTTGATAGGATACTCAAAGTCATTAACTAGAGTCACTAACTTTTCAATATTACTTTCTGAGTCTTTTATATTATTACTTGATGACTAATCTTTACAATAATTTTACTTTTAAATATTTCTGTTATGAAATTCGGACCTGGCAATGCTCGTAATTGTTTTTGTTAAAAATGCTTAGTTAACAATATTTACTTGAACTTAACCTTGATGGTTACGTGAAGTCAACAAAATAATAGTGGTGTGAACAATAATCGAACTACCCATTGTTACAAAAATGTTACCCAAGTACAACCCAAATCCTAATACTTAAAAAAAAATTCAAATTGACAAAATATTATTATTTATATTCTAATTGACAAATAAAATTTTTTAAAAAAAAATTGACGACTATGATGTTCTGGTCTGGATATGTTGAAGGATTGGTTTTTCTTACTTGGGGAGTGAGCCTTAATCGAGAAGTCTGCGTCGATTTGGGTAGAGTATGTCCTTGTCCCTCTGCGTAAAGTCGCCTTTTCACGGGTTATTTGGTATGCCGCCACCTTTGATGCCTCTGGTACTTCGTGCCAGTCCTGATCCTGCTGGTTTTCAGCTGTTGCTGTAGCGCCGGATGCAAAATTTCTGTTACTCAGCTTCTTGCTCGACACTCACAGCACATTCAACACTGCACTTCACCACGAGGTAAAACCACCGCTTGACACCATGAAATGATATGAGTTGTTGTTGTAGGGTTGATTGGATTGGGTTGGGTTCCAAATGTAGATTGATCCACTCTCCAAGGGGTGCTAGATCAGTCCAACCTTGTTCTGGTGTCGTGGGCAGAGCTTAGAGTTTATAATAGAAAATAACAACACTGGTATGAGTCTCCTCAGAACCGTGAGCACTTTATATTGGTATAGGCTGAAAGATGTCTTTACGCAAAGTAGAATACAAACACTGAATCTAATTTCGACTATAACTTTATTTAATCTTTAATAACTTCACATCACAAACTAGCATAGATTCGTGCTAAGACATACTCTAAAGTCTCGACTAAGACATCACTGGCTAGACTTCTGCCTAAGGCATCACTAGTTAATACAAATAATTCTGACTCTATATATTATACATTGTACGTGTCAATTCTAGGAATGGCGTCTTCCGCGTTCATGTAAAGATCTTGGACTTTGATCAACATTGAACAATGAATTCATATTTTGATCAAAAGCACGTATGATCGTGTTATTACAGAACAGAACACAACGGAACAGAATCAAACATTAATTATAGTCGTCCTTTAAATTTCTCCCAATAAAAACATATCAAATATTATTAAATTTCTTCATCAGCAGTTACTTCATTTTTCTAATGAGGGTGCAAAACTTTTAAACACTAATCACAACGAGATACCATTAATTCTTGCTGGAGGTTTCAATGTCAATTTTCGTTCAGAAGAATCTCAACCATTAATTGATTTTTTAAATAATAAATTTAATTTAACAATGAATAATTCTCCATTTGAATCAACCACAAGATATGGCACGACTATTGATGCAGTTTTCTCCAGAAATGTACATAGTTTACAAAGCAAAATTTATGTCTCTCATTTCAGTTATCACAAACCTATTATATCATATATGAAATATGATAGCAATTAATCTATCGCTGTTGTTTTAAACTGTGTTATTGATATTATGTGATTATTAATAAATGATTTTTAAAATTCAAATATGATGTTTTTTTATTTTTATCTTAATTGCCTACTCATACAATATTAAAAGTTTTACTTTAATCGCGTGTGATCCATACGCGCACTCTTTTTTTAGATCAAGCCATTTCCAGCAATTTGTCCAGCATTATCATGACCTTATCAACTTTGTCGCAAAAATTTACTTAACAATTAGAATACACCATGAAGAAAGAAAGAAAAGCAAAGTTGATAAATATGTACTCCGCTTTCATACGAAAATTGCGCTTTTTAAACACCAATAATAAATATATTACATTTAAATAAATATTTCATTATTGCTTTCTAATTTCCCATAATAGCCTTAGCCAACTGTTCTTATTTTCAGTGAATTTTATAATAATGTTTGAATTTTATAATAATTATAATGTTTTATTTTTTTTTCTAATTTCCCTTAAACACCTTGTATAACTAAAATAAATAAATAAATAAATAGTTCATTACATTCATTAGTTCAACATAAATTGTATATTATATATAATGTATATTATATATAATATTTTGCCAACAATTTCGAACACACAGACTTTCATTTGACGCTTAAGCGATCGAGTTTGACATATCTCGGCCGCGAAATTACCCTCGTATGCCCTCATACCATAGAACATCTTTTGACACTTTTTTACTTGAGAAATTGAGACTTGTATGGGGACTAGCAGTCCATGAAATTGTATAAGGTCTATGTGTCTATGTAACCTATTCAACTATATTCATCAAGGCAATACGATCAAAAATGTATGCTTCGAGCGCTATCACGGAATAGTGTACAGCAACTCCCGGCATTATATTCACGAACCGAATTTTATCACGGAATTAGAGACAAACGCGTAGTTCACCAAAATGCCGATTATTTCTATAAATAACGTTCTACGACGAAAAAATCTTGTTTTATAATAATCTTAAAGGTCTAATTAATAAAATATAACAGATTTAGTTCGTCCACTTTCCTATTTTCTCTAAAATACGTCTTTAAAGTCAAACGTCCCTTAACATCCCGTAATATGGTACGTTTACCTTAATTAAAATTTTAACTAAATCGCCTTGCATTAAAAATTGGATTAACACGATAGAGGGTTTGAGTTACATTTGGCACAAATCAAAAGTAGTTTAGGGTTTTAGTTACTTGAACCAGAAATTTTAACCAAGATTCGTTGAAGAATATTTTTAGTTGCATAAGGAGTCAAGGGGCTTCGAATACTAATCCAAGTTGTTACTCTTTTGTGCCTGCCTTTAGAACTTTGCTAGTCAACAATTTATCATCTCGTCATTCACCTTCTGCTAATTGCGAAATCGATGATACAACCGGGTTACTTGCCACATTTTGAGTGTTTTTGCATAATGAAGATGTTTTGGATACGGACTCTCTGATCAATAATGTCTAAAACAAAACCTCTCTCTGGAAGTTAAAAATAATGAAATATTTTAACATGCAATATTGTTACGAAACCCCTCTCCATATATGTCTAAACTAGTGATGTGCCGACTCGAAAATTTCCTGATTCGAGTGATTTTCCTGATCAGAAAAAAACCTGATTCGAATTATGATTCGAATCAATTCGAATCAAGTTCATATATGAACAATTATAATTTAAGACAAGAAATAATATCACTTTAATAATTTTAAGTTGAAAATAATAAAATATTTTAACATGCAATATTGTTACGAATGTGTGGGTGACAGCCCATACACACATGAAAATTACATAAAGCCACCCCTCTCCATATATGTGTAAACCATCCCTGATGAAGAGTGTGGAAGAGTCCGCAAGTGGAAGTAGTAGAATATACGCCCTCAGGGGTGACAGTCGGAAGAATCCTTCTTAAGCATTAGTCCCTAACAGTTGTTTTGGTAGTGGTAGTAATAGCCCAAGAGCATGAGTCCGATATGAGTCGAAGGGATGAGCTCGGTGTTGTGCGCGAAGTGTTTTATAATTGATGTTGTGATAATGTAAGCTAAAGGAATGTTATGAGGGACAGCGCATCGAAAGCTGTCCCCAAACCGAAAGTAAACTATTAATTAAAATGTGACTAGTGTGTGATGTGAATCGGGAGCCCGAAGTATGGACACGATAGACAATGGTGGTTACAGATAAGTCTAGATTCAAGTTGTATAGTTCAGATTGAGATTAGTATAAGTATGTAAATATGTGAATATAAAATATTGTTTAGTTAAGTCACGAACAAAAGCTCTAATATTTAGTTTTTCAGCAGTGCGGGATAGAAGATAAAAGTAATATTTAAGTAACAAATGATCAAATAATTAAATAATCCGCAACTAGCAATAAAATAATTCATAACAAAAGGGTTATAAATAAAAGAATCCGTAACAATAATTTTAACTTCCCGCAGGGTAAGTTATAGTAATTGCAAAAAAAATCGAAAATGAAAAACCGTTTCAAAGGTTTCAGAGAAAATTTGTACACACATACATACATATACATCCATTTATTTTAAGGTATGTTGAAATATTAATTTTGATTTTTATTTTTTGCATGATTACTATAACCTACTCTATGCGTAGTTAATAAGTGACCAATAATAACAAATATTATTTATAACAAGTTTTAATTTTTATGTTATACATATGTACATAATTAAATAAAAAACAATTTAATTTAAATAATAACACTATATATTCATTTAATAACTTCTGCCAGTATACAATATTTGGTGAGCAATGAAGTAAATATTATATTTTATTAGTCACCACAAATATTTTCAAAGATATTTTATAAACAATATTTACCAAAGCATCCTGCACGAATGAGAACGTCTGCTATTTATAATTATAATGTCTTACTGTGTTTAAAATGATCAGTTCTCATGATTGTTTTGGTTTGAATGGCATTTTAATCGATGTTTAGATTTTAATGTTTTATTACATATTTCACTTTTATAAGGATGTTCTACAGTATGAACAGTTTTATGTTGGTTTAATTGGTTGGTGTAGTTGCGAATGTTTCATTGCATGTGGCTCATTAATGATTGCTTTCTCTTGTGTGTACAAATTCATGTTGTTTCAAATGTTCTTTTAATCTGAATGCATAATTGCATATCTTGCATTTATGCAGTCGTTCTCCAGTATGAATCATTAGATGTCGGATTTTATGCTGATTTAAACTTTGTTTAGTTGCGAAAGTTTTTTTACATACTGCACATTCATGATTACTTTCTTTAGTATGGACAAAATAATGTTGTTTTAATTGGCTTTGTCTTGTAAATGCTTTACTGCATATTAAGCATTTATGTGGTCGTTCTCCAGTATGAATCATTAAATGTTGTATTAATGTTTCTTTTCTTGTGAATGATTTATTGCATAATGCACACTTTTGAGGATGTTCTCCAGTGTGGATCATTTCATGCTGACTTACACTATGTTTAGTTGCGAATGTTTTTTTACATACTGCACATTCATGATTACTTTCTTTAGTATGGACAAATTCATGTCGCTTTAAATTGTGTTTTAATCTGAATGCTTTATTGCATATCTTGCATTTATGTGGTTTTTCTCCAGTATGATTAATTAAATGTTGGTTTAATGGTTGTTTTGCTATGAATGCTTTATTACATATTTCACATTTGTAAGGACGTTCTTCCGTATGAATCTTTTTATGTTGGCTTAAATTACTATTTGTTATAAATGCTTTAGTGCATATTTCACATTTGTAATGACGTTCTTCTGTGTGAATCTTTTTATGTTGACTTAAATTACCATTAGTTATAAATGCTTTATTACATATTTCACATTTGTAGTGACGTTCTCTTGCATGAAATTTTTTATGCTGACCTAAACAACTATTTGTTATAAATGCTTTATTACAGGTTTCACATTTGTAAGGACGTTCTCCTGTATGAATCATTTTATGTCGATGTAAGGTGCTAATTCTTGAGAAATTTTTATTGCAAATTTCACATGTCAAGGGTTGTTTCAAGTTTAGGGTAGCTTTACGTTTTTCTAAAACTTTTTTAATGATTTATTACATTCACTTGTATTATCCACTAAATCACTTAACTCACCAAAATGATCAATATTTTTGTTTTTACTGGTGTCTGCAAGGTGCTCATCAATCGATTCATGCTTAACCTCTTCGTCAATTGTTACTTCAGATTTTAAAAATTGCTGTAGACATATTTCTTCATTTTCCGTGTAAGAATTCTCATGGAAACGAGCTTCATCTTGATCATCAATTTCTTTTTTGATTTTTTCGTCTATAGTGACTTCAGAATCTAAAAATCGCTGTTGATATATCTCCTCGTTTTCCATGTAAGATTCCACGCCGAAACTTCTTTCATCTTGATCATCAACTGTTTCTTGTTTTATTTTTTCGCTTATTTTTATCTCAAATTCTGAAAATTGCTGTAGATATATTACCTCGTTTTCTAAATATGTTTCTGGAGTAATGTCATAATCATCAAGTTCTTGTTTAACTGGAGAATATTCCTTTGGTTCAGTTTTAATTATTGGGTTTGAAATTGTTTTCTTCGGACATTTTCGGCGCTAGTCGTTTTTCATAAACAAACCAACAGTAATTTATAAAAAATTAAGAAAGCTTTCAATTTGTATGCTTTGCATCAATGATAAATATGTTTTAATATACACATATCTATTAATTCGTTTTGACTTTGACATTTGATTTGAGTCTCACTTCGCATAAGATTGAGATCAGGTGTGACAACACTCAGTACGTTTCATTTATCATGGACCATGGACCATGGACCTACATCCTCAGTATAAAATCCGCGTTCACAACGCTTAGTTCCAGTCACGAACGCAAGGTGCAAATTTGGCGCTAGTGAGCCGATGTCATGTTTGACAGGTAAGTAATCCACGAGCAATATATACAAGAAATGTCAAAACATGAAAACTTTCATATAGGTTATCGTATATGAGACATCCATTTTGTTTTGATTCTTAAGGTGCGCCACACCTAACGAACGAACACGAACGAACATGTCGAACAAGAAAATACAAAGAAGAACGAACAGGAACACGAACGAACGCGAAAAATTTCAAACGAACTTGAACAAGCAGTTAAAAGCAGTGAGCGCTTGAATTTTCGTTGTTCGTAGATGTTCCGTGAAACGTCAGTTTTATTATTGATATGGATGTAAGCTTTAATCATACGGCATTTTCACTGGTTTTTGTGTGATTTTTGTTCGTGTATATTTTGCAAATATACTGTAAATAAATTATTCAATTAATTTCACTCAGTTTTTGTATTTAATATTTATATTTTGAGTCGTTTCCTTTCCTCAGCATTCATATTCGGAGCAAGCTGAACATTCCAGGCTTGAGATAACTATACTCAATTTTCATACTCTCATCCTCAACATATATGTTGAATGTCTATGTATGATAACAAGTTTAATATTTACTTGTAAAGACTGCAATTTCTTCTTTACTGCAGCTTCTGACATCCCAAACGTTTTGCCTACACTTTCCCAAGCATCGTTTTTTTTCTAATAATTTTATAAAAAGGGTCTTTAGTCTCCCATATTATAGGAAACTTTTCTATTTCATTTATGAATGATAAAATTACGTCATTTGACCATTCCATAATTTATTCAAAATTTTCAAACTGTACACAATAATTAAAAGTAAATATTATTAAAATTTTCAAACTGTACACAATAATTAAAAGTAAATATTATTAAATTATTAACATTATTATTAAATTATTAAAAAATTATTATTAAATTATTAAAATTATTAAAACAAAAATGTTCGTTTGCGTTCGTTGAGACGTCCACACTGCACATACGAGTTCAAACATGAACAAACAATTCCCTTTGATGTACCGACAAGTTGCGGAACATTGCTCGCCATGTTTGTTTATGTTCGTTCGTGATCGTCGTGGCGTCCACACTATGCTGTTGCCGTTCGTTCTGGTACGTTCTTTTATGTTCGTTCGTGTTTGTTCGTTAGGTGTGGACGCACCTTTATTGTGAATGTTGTGTTTACAAGTGTTTTATAATTGTTTATAAGGTTTTATTTGTGATTCAATCAGATCTATAACTCTTAAATGAAGAGGATATAAAGCAGTTGCTAAAGCTGTGTATATAATAAAATTTTAATCACAATACATTTTAGGAGCAAGCTACGGCTCTTTTATAAGAAAGGCAAGGCTCCTCTAACTTTTCAGAATTGTATTAAATTTGGAGGCTCTTAAATATATATGGAAAAGCATAAATAGACTAGATTTTACATTGTTTAAGAACGCCACTGAGTTAATGAACGAAATCCAATTTCAGTGAAAGTTGACAAAATAAGTTAATTTAATGCAGCAGTTTTTTGAATATTCAAGATAATGTCAAGAGCCATTTAGCATGACTGGATTTATCGCAAAGAATGTGCTGAAAAGTGGCAAATCTTACTTACTGACACTATAATTTACACACCATGTTTTGTGTTCACGTCATTATTGGTAGTGAATAATGAATGATTATCCACTTGAAGGCAGGAATCCTGTAATTTGTTAAACTTTATATTTTCTTGATTTATTTAAATAAATATGTTTGTTGCAATATATTGCTATTTACTTTGATATCTATTTTAATATATGTATTATCATGGGGAGTTATCTCCGAACAAATGTATTTACCCTGTTTTGGAAAGGACTACTATTTGTAGCGAAAAAAAGATGTCGCTACTAGTTTCAAAATATGATACACGTCAAAATTACTCGCTTAGATTTGTCATTTGCCATTTTGTATCAAAGTTTGTGGTTCGATGTTGTTTCTGTAATTAATTGTATTCAAGTAAGCGTTTATGTGAAATTTAATATGGCAAAATGTAACGCACCAACTTGTGGTATCTTCAGAAATAATATAAAAATGCACTTCTTTCCGGCTTTATGAAGTGAACAAATTAGAAATGTCCAATTATATTTCACAGAATAGTTCTCATGTCTATAGTTCACAGTGATATAAGAAGAGAAAGACAATCTGATATATGACCAGGAGAATACTCCGGAACTCCAGTGGAAAAGGTAATAATAATTCTGAATAATTTAATACCATTTGCTATTACGACTTGATATTATATTACAACATGTTATGTTTATTAGATGTTCTTGGGAATACAAATTGCAGCAGAATCTAGTGACTGAGGATAGGAGTGTCTTGATGCCGAGGGCATGTAAAATGTATGACACACCCATTATATGTTGAGGGAGTTAAGAAGTGGATAAATATGTTTTTAATTTGAATTTCGCGCTACTATTTGTATGGTTTCTCCCACTACCGGGCAAAGCGTCCATCTTGCGCATAGGTTTCGACTATGCTTTGTACAAAATATATGTTCTCTTCTATACAAACAACCTAACCTACAACATCGTGTATTTTGAGTGATTTTTAATTATATATTAAATAAAGATATTCTACTACTGTTCAACGTGTTTGTTTAACTTTTGTACCAAGAAGGATAGACAAACAATGCAATAATTTAAGGTATAAATTGCAACAGAGTATAAAATGCTCAGAAATATTCTTAACATTCCATCCGAAATGTTAAGAATATTTCTGAGCATTTTATACTCTGTTGCAATTTATACCTTAAATTATTGCATTGTTTGTCTATCCTTCTGCTGCAATTTGTAAAAGACGATTTTCTTTTATTTCTAATCTTGGCGCTTTAATTTGAATGCATTTAGGAGCACGAGGCTGCCGAGCGACATGCGATTAAAGTGCCATCACCCATTGCGTTCGTGACTCTCCCTAGCTCTCTGAACGCAAATACCGCGAGAGAGAAACGTCTATATTAGTATACTCTTCTTTTATCTATGGATAGCATGGTATTATGGATAGTCGCTATATTAATTGAATAAGCATTTCAAAATGGGCACCATTCAAAAACTACAGCGTTTAATTTATTAGAACGTTTTACATACAAACTGCAAACCATGTGTTTACTATCTATGCTGCAAACAAAAATTTTTGCAGTACCCCAAAGATTGTCAAGTGCGGGTTGAAACAGTCACCTATTATGACACCAGTTTCCCGCAAAGATATTTTTTTATAATAATTGCAGCAATAACTAGTGGTGTATGGCATCGTGTCTTAAGGCAAATTGCTGGAACTTCCCGTACTGTAATGAATTATTCGAGAAATTTTAAACGTTTTCAAATTTATTATTACAAATATTGTAACTCCCATTATTTTTGCTATCTTGTTATATCTGAGCAAATCAAATGTAAATCATAAATCAATTTATGTCCAGAACATTAACAATCGTCATTTTTTTCGAATTCAATTTCAAAAAAAATAGTTGCCTAATTTACACAAAATTGAAAAAGTGCTCCCGTATAGTCATAGTCTAAACGCATTTGCAAATAATTCTGTGCGACATTTTTACTATACTGTGCTTAGCTTGGCGGCATTTTCACATTTTTCAATAGTTTTCACAAATTTGGAAAAGTGTTCCAGTTCATAAACAGTCTGAAGTTCTGAACGCACTTGGATAAACATTTGTACTAGAGTGGCGCTTAGCCTGGGTAATTTTTTGAATTTTTAATCCAAAATTACAAAAAAAAGTAATATTTTTTTATCCTCAAAAGCAATTGTTTTGTCTATACAAGCAGAAAGTTTTTTAGATCATTCAAATCGGACGCTTAGTTCACTCAAAAACTGCCATTTTTTTCACATTTAGCTCTGTATCTTCGATAGGCAGGACCTGTCTTTGCGGAAAACTAATCAGCACATCTCCCTATCAATAGGGATTGAATGTTTTTTAAACCATTCAAATCGGTTGATCCGTGCGCCCGAAAACGTGAACGAAAAAATGCGGACATACAAAACACACACGCACGCACAACCAAAAGAAACCTTCAAAACGTCGAGAAATGCAAAAATTTTCATTTTC